GGAGTATCTGTAACCAATAATTAGGTGTCCGTGACCAATTATTTAGGCGTATGTGACCAACTATTTAGCTGATTTGTGATTAAATATTAGGTGTCTGACTAAAAAATAATTTGTGATTAATAAATTGTAACTTATGTGACCCATAGATAAAATATGACCTTTAATTTGAATGATCTGTGATCTTGAAATAATATGTGACTTACAAAATTTTTGATTCGTGACCACAAAATAATATATGACCAATTAATTTGACGATATATGACCAGTAAATAAATCTGTAACTATTAATCATGTAACTATGACTTTATTATCTTTATTTAATAAATAATTTTAATCAATTAAATGCATACCTGATTTTTGAATTTTCAAATTATTTACTTGATTTTTGAATTGGGCTAAATATAACCCCAGAGATGTGATTTTTTTCCATATAAAACTATATGAGCCATATCTACTATCTTTCTTGTTGGAAAATGGATTCGGGTCCCCCTTGTCGGTTGACTTGCCACATTCAATGGAATGGGTTGGAGGGAGTAGTTCGAACTTTGAATTGAAACCGTCAGATTCCCTCAACCTCCAATAACCTCTCACCATTTGTCACAAGATGGCAGAAAATAAGCAATTTAGAAAATTTTCACAAAACTTGTCGCTTGAGTTGTGGCAAATGTGTTCCTTCTATTGTGATTGAGTTCTTGACCATAGGAGTGCAACAAATGCAGAATTTGGATCATGGAATTGCAAGTGGATTCAACCACGAAAGTGTTGGGAATTCTCTGTAAGTTCTTATGATCCGAAATTATTTTCAAGCATACTGCGTCATCTTACATTTCTGATGTACTATACGTTTCCTTCTTTCCATTCTTGTCCACTTCTATGCATGACAAAGACACGTGAAGTGGGAAGTTCCACGTCAGTTTTCTTCATCGATTTATATATATATTTTTCTCGAAGTAGTGAAACTGATCACATATTTCCTCGTGATAACTAGGTGACATAATTGTATTTTGGCGTTTTACACCGCCCCAGCGAGACAGATATAGACATGAAGGGGCCATTGCTATTCAATCAATCAAAGGTGAGTGGTGGTGGGTGGTGGATGTGTCTTTCACCTAGCACTAACTCCAAATATTAAGAGATGAGGTTCATATGGAGATAACGTTAGGCAACCCCCCACCTATATATGTTTTGTCTTTAATTCAATTAACTGCTCATCGATACTATATAGGAATGGCAACGGGACCAGAATGGGGTGCATTGATCATTCTCATCCCTCTACTCGTTGGGTTTTTTCACCTTGTCTCTGTTAAGATTTGGAGTTCCATCTTAAATCATTAACCTTGTTAAGAGGAATAATCCAAGACCTTATAAGTTGGTTTATATTTTCATCTTTATTTGATGTGAGATTTATATCTTTTAACAAGTTTTCACAAGATAGTGGCTCGTTTGAGCAGATCAATTTGGAAATCCGTATGCTCATTTATACTTACTTAGATCAAATCGCTTGTTAGAACTTAACGGGCTCTGATACCATATTAAGATTTGGAGTTCTATCTTAAAAGGTTAACCTTGTAAGAGGAGCAGCTCAATACCTTATAAGTTGGTCTATATTTTTATCTTTATTCTATATGAAATTTATATCCCTTAACATCCCAACCCTATTCCTAGTTAAAGCGAGGCAAGACAAGTTCATTTATTTATTTATTTATTTTTACATTTTTTATATCTTTAATTAGTGAATAATATTCCATTTTTTTCCTAATTTATTAAGAACAACACATGTTTTCTTTATAAATGATAATAAATCTTTTCTTTTTGTTTGATGAAAAACTTGAAATCAATTTTGAATAGGGTGGGTACCGCGGAGGCGATCATATTTTCTTTCCCCGATTTGGGGCAATACCCATCATCGCCTCATTCGGGATAGGACCCACGAGTATTGAGTTAAACAGATTTTTTTATCATTCCTATGTTGGTATATATATATATGTAGCAGTTGTGCGTGTATATATTATAAATTATTCAATTCAACAGTCTCCTCCATTGATACGAGTGTTACTTTGTTGTATCAACATGAAGAAGAAGACGGCTCTTCTTTGGCTGTTCCTATTCTTCTCAGCCTTCTTGTTTCCTCTCTCAGCATCATCATCAAGTAAGCCCCAACATTTCATAATCTTCATATGATATATATTCATTCTTATCTCTCTCTCTCTCTCTTAAAATTATTGCAGGAAGCCTCAGTTCAATCACGGATCATTTTCAGGTTCTTCTTCCTTTCCATTCATATTCTTTTCCCCTTTCTTAGTAATATCATTATTGGATTTTCTGTTCAGTTTGGTAATTTAAATGTGGAGTAGATTGCACTGGAGACAGGAGAGGAGAAAGAATTATACAGAGAAAGAAGAATGGATATTGAAACCAGTGACTATCCAGGGACTGGTGCCAATAATCACCATGATCCAAGACCCCCTGGAAGCTTTTGAATCTAAGAAAATGCTACTTATTATGTATTTGTACAAATTAAAATGAGGAAAATTAAAAGAATAATTCCTCTAATTCTTGAGTTTCATTAATTATTTTGCCCTCAAATATTGATCTTTTGTACTGTATCCATACTTTTTTTTTTTTTTTTTTTTTTTTTTCGGATCATTTTCAGGTTCTTCTTCCTTTCCATTCATATTCTTTTCCCCTTTCTTAGTAATATCATTATTGGATTTTCTGTTCAGTTTGGTAATTTAAATGTGGAGTAGATTGCACTGGAGACAGGAGAGGAGAAAGAATTATACAGAGAAAGAAGAATGGATATTGAAACCAGTGACTATCCAGGGACTGGTGCCAATAATCACCATGATCCAAGACCCCCTGGAAGCTTTTGAATCTAAGAAAATGCTACTTATTATGTATTTGTACAAATTAAAATGAGGAAAATTAAAAGAATAATTCCTCTAATTCTTGAGTTTCATTAATTATTTTGCCCTCAAATATTGATCTTTTTTTTTTTTTTTTTCCTTTTTTTTTTTTTTTTTTTTTTTTTTTTTTGGAGAACTCGCATTCACTATCTCTCGAGTGCACACTGGGTAAACTCTCGAGCTGACGTAATAGCCTGCAAACAACGCCAATGAGGTAAATCGCACTCGGCAAGTCCAATCATTTATGTCGTCTCTTCATTATGGTCACACCCAGGGACGAATCTTGGCTTCGAGTTCAGATAGGGCGGACTGCAAACGTTGAACATTTACTGTCAACGGTTAATGCTCGTGATAGCGAGATGCGATCGTTTATTAATATTTAATTGAATAATGTTCAAAAAATTGTATGGATTAGAATTAAAAGAATTAGATACACCACTAAAATTTGAATAAATAGATATGGATTTTCTTTTCGGTTGAAAAAATCGTTTAATAATCTGCAAAAATGCCCCAATTATTTTCAATTAGAATTGATTAAAAAACAAAGTACACATTATTGAATTGAGCCTAACATCTTCTCAATTGATTTTTTTTTTCCTTTTTTACTTCATTTATCCTAAATTCTTAAACATAAAATCCCAAATGACAAATCAAAACTCATAAATGATACCCTCGGGACATAACCCAGTGGTGCAAAAGATAGGAGTAAGGTAATTTCAATTTTGCTGGTAGCCGCAGTGTGAGGATTCGATTCCTAAGATATGGAATTGGACTTTTTGTGGGCACCAGTTTACAGGCAAACTTTTGTTCTCTGACCTACTGTGGCACATTCCACAATTTACCTCCTTCATAATGCTCCAGAGACGAGGCAGTGGAGGCCCTCAAGGTTGGGGTCCAACCCTTTTTTTAAAACTAATAAGTGATTTATAACTCATAACTCAATGACTCATACAACATAAACTATTTATCCCAACCATAGATTCACAATTCTCATTTTAATGTCAAATTGCCAATTAACTCATCGAACATAAATCATTATTCATAAGTCATAAATAAAAATTAACACCAAAACCAAATTTTGAAAACAATGATTTTCATAACTAGAACTATTTTTTACACCAAAATAAAATTGTTTTCCAAAGTCTTAAAAGAATAAAGAGCAATTCTTAGATTGTCCAAATGTAAATTTTATAAAATAAATTGATTAAAGATAATGATAAAAGTATCTATATTATGAAGTAATAATTTGAGTGAATAAATTTTTTAAAGAAATTATTTCGAAAACGAAAACTATAGTTGTTTAGTTGTAACAAAAAATTAAACAAAAAATTGGATGGATATAGAATTGAACCCCATACATTTTACATAGAAAGAAGAACCCCTCATATGGAGAGGAAGCCATTGGTGTGAACAAACGCCCAGTGAGGAGAGCTCTCTTCGCGGAAGGAGTCCAAATAAGTTTTGGGAACCTGGGAGCCAACAAGGGCACATCCTACGATTTACCTCCCTGAGCTGCTGAGGGGCCGGATGTTCAGGGACAAGGATCTAGTCGGACGCAAGCCCGGACACCTTGTAAAAAAAAAAAAAAAATAAAATAAAAATAAAGAACCCCTCTTTCATGTGAACTGCTGTTGCTTTAGTGGAGGCTGGTACAATTTTTTATTAATATGTAATTATTCTGTTTAAAAATTAAATGGCGTAATGCCAGCCAATAGAATCGAATCTGTGTCATCAATGCAAAGGCTAGGATGCTGCCACACAAGCCGCATGCCCATTTTGTTGAATCTTTTGCACAAAACCATATTATATATATAACACAAACCTTCACTAAATTTTTTCTCGGTGGATCCAGCACGGGCGGCCGCGCCGGCTCGCCAAGTGCTGGATCCGCCCCTGGTCACACCTACACATAAAGTAACTGTAATGGCCAACGATAATTGAATCATTGAAAATGTTATCTTATAGACAAACGAAAATAAAAACACTCAAATGTGCTAATAGGAGAAGAGCTGGAGACTGTTAGTACAGTTCGGTTTCTGTCTAAATTGTAGGGTAAATGGCAGTCTAAAATGTGTATTTAAAGAAGGAAAAAAATATTCAAAATGATCATAAACATAACGCTTTTAAATGTACATATTATACCACAAATTTCATAACACAAACATATTACACGAAAACTACGACCTCAAATAACAAATAACTACGTAAGAAAAAAGCTTTGTACAAGTTTCTGTAGTTCCCTGAGATTCCTAAAAGCAACACTAAAAACTAATAAAAAGGTAAATTCTTCTATTTGCTGTCTGCAAGGAGAAATTTTACATGCATTGGGACAAAGAAATGGCCTTCTGCAGATTCATAAAGGCTTTTTCATACCTAACAAATCCCATAAACCAAAATTCGAAATCGTCTTCTGTGACTATTTCTATGTACTTCTGTGCTGGATTGTCCATGTTCCCACTTTCGTTAGCTCTTTTTATCTTTTTCACTGGGACAGAAAGCTGCAGCAATGGAAATTTCAAGGACTTCAATTAGATAGATGGGAAATTAGGATGCAGTGAAAACAAAGAACTTGTTTTTCGTTTCTTTCTAGTACAAACATAATTTATATTAAGAAAATATATCTTGGAGGAAGGTTGGCTGGAGATTTCCCATTTCACACATGTAGATGAGATGATTGTGTATCTAAATTAAAAAAGGAAAGATTATTTAGGCTTGTTCGAGGGATCCTTGACCTCCAATTTGAGTTTTGGAGGAACTCGACCTCCAAAAGCTTATAATGCCAATATATTCCTCTTCACCTTTCAATTATTTACACACTTTAAATAGAGATATATGATACAAGATAATCCTACCAATTCCTAGTAAATAGACAGACCATCCCGCTGCTACTAGTAATATGTTGCCATGATTCCAATAAATATCTCGTCTCTTTCCAAAAAATGAATTATTGCCATCGTAAAAAAAAAAAAAATAGCTATCTTCAAAAATAAAATTAAGATCATAGCAGTAATTACTTCAATTATACATGTTTTGATAGTAGGTCATAATCGACACCACATTGAAGGGTAGAGTGGGTCGAAAATGTGAAAGATATCTTTCTAGAAGGTTTTAGATAGATGGAATCAAGACTTATGGTGTAATTAGGATGACAAAGTTCTTAGCCCAAGAATAGCGTTGTCACCAAACAAAGGAGTCTTCAAAGAATACAACTTGATTTAATTCAAAATAGAAACCTCCCTAAAGAACAAGACTTGTATTCATCATCACATTCTAAGTTAGGATTTAAACAACCCTCCAACCATAAGCAAGTTCCGAACATAACATTTTTCCATTTTCAAAGGTTAAGACTGATTAAGTTCACCCATTATGGTACGTAAACAACATGAAACCTAAGAATAAAATTAAGCAATTAATTCATTTTCTTAAGTAGTCCGGTCAATAAACATTTCCAATTATATGCTTTTCTTGGTAATTATTTCTCGAGATTTCTAATTTTCTATAAATTAGTTCAATGTTTACCCAAACTTTTGCTCGATACACACAGAGTGCATCTTTGGTGGGCGGCATCGAATAGGACTAAACAATATAATAGATAATATTTTAACTACTCTTTCTTCTAATACTTTCGAGTACTATCTAATTCTTGCAACAAAATGGCACAATCAGAATCATTAATTAGGGGTCGGAAAATTTACCTTGTAAGGAGTCCTGAAATGGCTTCCAGAAGACAACTGAAGGGTAATGGATCTTTCACTACAAAATGCAATTTTTTCAGTGGAAATGAAAAGAATCCCAGCAATTGGACCTGCTGTTGTTGATAAATAGCACTGAGATGCCTTCAACACCTTCTCTCCCTCAATAACACCAAACATTTCCCTAAATATATTTTCTCTGCCTCCTTTCTTAATAATTTTGGCCCCAACACTCAGCTTCCCCTTCACTGTTTCAGATATTTTAGGCCCCAGTCTAACTGCAAACTCAACATCGATAAAATGTAATTAATTCCACATATCCATCCATATAAAGATCAAGACTCCTGCATATATACAAACGGATGGAAAACTGTTACACTTAGCCCCTATTTGATGGCCATTATTTTGGGATTTTCAATGTTTTGGATAGCGAATTTTTGGATAATGTGTGGTTCAAAAGTAAGTGCATGTTTCGTATTGATTTTTCTTTCCAAAAAATCAAATTTTTGACCGTTATTTTACTATTCCAACTGCCATTTTTTATTTCTTCTCTCACTAGTGGGACCATTTTTTTCTTTAACGGTCAAAAAATTCATTCTCAAGATCACTACCGAACAAGCCCTAAGGAAAAGTTTTGGATTTGTATGTAAAATACTAAAATATTTTATTGTGTGAATGTCTAATTGAAAACGAGTATGTAGAAATAACAATTTTGAAATAAAGGATATCAAAAAGGGGCTTAGTTTGATGAAGTCGACTCCAAAGTGTTAAAGGGATAAATTTCACATCATTTAAATACAAAAATATTAACCAACATAAAAGAGTTTGAGCTATTACTCTTAGGTTGACCTTAATAAGGTATCACGGTCTATTAAGGTCTAACGAGTAATTCAATATATATAAAAGCTCAAACAAGTACTAGATTCCAAGATTGGTGTGCTCAAAAGAGCACCATCTTCAAGGGCATAACAAAGAAACACCGTATAAGGGTTTGGCTACTCCTCTTTGCAAGATTAACCGTTTGAGATGGAATCTCAAGTCATTTTTTCAGGAACAATCACACATACATTTTAATTATGGATCTACTACCAGAAATCAATAAGTAATTTCCTCGTATACCTAAATAATCTCATTTTTCAATTATTCAACCATTTCATTTTACTAATTTCAATGTTAGCCAGATTATTCTAATACTGCATACCAAATATGCCATAAGAGTATGTTACCGTGTTCGCGGATTCTGTAAGCTAAACTGTTAGCCTTTCTTTCAAACTTATAGTGATTCCTCCCAGTTGGGGGCTTCCCTTTACCTGCATTTCCAAGAAAAATTATTAAACAAAAAAAACACACAACATCATAAAGAGTACCAAATTTGTAAATTACATACTTGATGTGAAGGCAGGAGAAGAATTAACCGAAGAAGTGGAGCTGACAGGTTCAGATGAAGTATTACTACACATTAAAGGGCTTCGAGGAAAACCATGATCTTCAAACTTGGAACCATTCATTTTTTCATGAATTTCTACAAATGATACTTTTCCAAATTTCTTTTCTTGATTTGGGTATTTGAAGCTGTCGAACGTAGAACGAAGAACAAGAAGAAGAAAGGGAAAGTGGTTGGAAAATTATTGTAGTATATAATTGAATTGAATGGGCGGTGCCCCCCACTTGTTTGAAATATAATAGTATATCAAACACAAAAGACAATTTTATTTTTTGGAAGATTCTTTACTTCATTAATTTGTACTAAAAAAAATAAACTATTTAATAATTAAAAAGTACTTTTATCTTGTAATGAACTTTCTTGGGAAGTTCCAAAATGTGGAAAATTTCATATGTGGTCATTGAATTTCTAGAGAACTCTCAATTGGGTTATTAAACATTAATTTGTTTCATTTGAGTCATTGAACTTCAATGTAGTTCAAAATTCATCACTCTATCTCATTCCATTACATATCATATACCAAAGCGATGAGAAATAACTTATTGGCACAATAAAATAAATGTCTTCCAATGTAATAGAAATGAAAATTGTGGCAATACGTTTATATTAGAAGAGTAAAAGGTTTGTTTATTTTATTTTATTTTTTAACATTTTTATAGCGTGACGATAAGTTGACATATAACACGTTCACTAGAAAATTTGCTATCGTATAAATGTCAAATAAGCAATTATTATCAATTCAAGAGACAAGAAATTATAGAACATTGAAATTTGAAAATCACACTAAAGTTCAATTATCCAATTAAGATCGAACACAAGTTCAATGACTTATCTAAGACATTAAAATTAATGACCCATTTAAGATTCCATTGAATATTCATTTCTCGATGAAATTTACCCAAAAATAAGCACAAGTATGGTCTTTATAAGGACTTGAAAATAGAAGTAATGAACAATTTTTATTTTTTTTTTACTTTTTTTTTTTTAGGGAAATCGAAAAGAATGAGGCATAAGACGACGTAAATGGACTATGAAAATGTCGTTTCATTGAAATCTTTACACAGATAGAAAAATCCGGTTAATTGTATTAACATACTAAAAGAGTGATTGAATTTGAGGTAAATTACAATTTAGAGAGTTGAGTATAACCTTTTATAGTTAGGTGACCCAATTCACTCTTCAGTAGAAGTTGGATGACCTCCAATGAAAGAAAAAAGAATTATTATTTTTTAATAAAACATTATTATTTATTTCAGTACTAGAAAATCGAAGTAATCAACATTGCCGTGGGGCTACGAATCCGCGTGGACTTGTCTTTCGTATGTCGATCTCCAAATGAATTAAATTAATTAATGACTTTTACGCGGAGAAACATAACTTTTTCTTCACTCTTCGAGTCTTCGTCCCTTCCAATAAGTTGCCGTCTGCACAACGGCAAATATTTGAAAATGAAATCTTGATATCTTAGTATCATTCTTATTATTTTTTCTACAATATTCATTTTGAATCCCTAAAATAGAGCGAGGAAATATGTTAACCGATCATACCTTGAACCTTGCCATTTTAACATTTCATTCCAATAATCAGATTCATATAGCACTTGTTCGACTCCCCGTTTGCTAAAAATTCATTTTTCACTGACTTATTTTCAACAACATTTTTTCAATAAAATAATTTTGTATTTAAATGTAAAATATTTTTCTGCTTTTTAATTACACATTTTTCAAAAAATCACTATTATAAAATAAATTTTTAAAAAAAATGAGTCAAACATACTTATATTTTTCTTTCAAAAATCAGATATATCCCATCTCACTTCATCGCACCGCATCCCACCTCATCTCGCACCCCACCCCACTCATTCAAACATATGTGTCTCTCCCTCTCTTGTTGACATTTGGTCACCACCGACACCAACTTCGGCCGTTGTTACCGAAAATCAACTATCCGATTACCCTCTACGCCCTACTCCACCTCACACCATCCCCACTCGTCATTTAGCCCCTGTTTGATCCCCGTTACTTGAAAATGAAAATGGGGGGAATAGTATTTTTTAGAAAAATGAGTGGTTGAAAAAGAATGAAAAATTTTCGATTTACGTGTAATATTACTTTATGGAAGATAGTGTGGTTGAAAATAGGAAAGAAAAAAATGGAATGTAATGTAATTTAATTTAATGGGGATCAAACAGGGGCTTAATACATTTCCCCAAAAATTCATATTTATAATCTGTTTTTACCAAATCAGAAGCTGTATCAAGACCCCCAAACATCGTCAACTGCCCTAATGATGTATATGTCCCACGGAACGACTCTCGCTCTGATTCTTATGGCGTCGTATTCTCATTCGATGGCTCAATTTGAATAATGGAGTGCGAGGGATCTAATAAACATATAGTCGACATAATGGAGTTGAACAATGCATATCAAAGCACGAGGCGAATGGTAAATTTATAATTGATTTAAATTAGTCATATAGAACGTGTGATTGAATATGAGAGACCTAATAAATATATGATCACCTTATGGAGTTGTATAATGCATACAAGAGCACGAGGTGCTTGATAAAATTATAACTGACTTAAATTAATTAAATAGAGTGTATATTGGAGGATTAGGGATCTATGATATATACAATCGATTTATTTGAGTAAGACGATGTATATTGAAAACAGGAGGTTATGGTAAACTATAATTGATTTAAATTATTTAAATAGAATTTATAATATTGTACGAGAGAGTTAATAAAAATATGATCGACTTAATTGAATTAGACGAGGTATATCGAAGCATAGGGCACCTAACTTACATTTGACTTAAATTAGTTAAACGAAATTAATGAAGTACCATGGACCTTATAAACATATGATCGACAAAATTGAATCAGACTATATATATCGGAGCATGAGATGTATGGTATACTTAGCCGTCTGTTTGGCAGCTTTTTTTTTTTTTTTTTTTTTTTTTTAAGAATGAATTTTTGAATACTAATTTTTTGAAGAATGTGTAATTAAAAAATAGAATTTTTTTTGCATTTACGTGAATAATATTTTATTGTGGGAATGTGTGATTGACAATGAGCATGAGTTATCTCTCTCTCTTTCTCTTAGTTACCAAATAGGAACTTATAATGACTTAAATCAGTCAAATAGAATTTATAATTGACTCACATAAGTTGAATTAACAAAATTCATCTTCAAAGACATCATCTGAATATAATTTAATCACACTCAAATAGGGATGGCAAAAATCGTCGTCAAACCCGATGACCACGAGTTCTGGACAAAGATCACCGCTTAATCGAGTCGGATACGAATAATAGGGCCTCGCCCCTCCCCCACCAAATATATATATAAAGAATTTAATACTTTAAATAAATAAAAAATCGTAAAATTTTATTAATTCTAATAGAAGTTAGCAACTAAGCCCTTGTTTGGCCCCCACTAAATTAAATTTCATTTTTCTCGCTCCTATTTTCAATCACACAATATTTTATAAAATAATACTACACGTAAATAAAAAAAACTTTTTTTTGAACTACTTATTTTTTTAAAAAAAATATTATTCCACCTATTTTAATTTTAAAAAATGGGGTGAAATAGGGGCAAAGAATATCTAATGAATACGATAAGGAACATACTGGCTGTACAGGCCCTATGTTCATAGGGCCTGTACAGGCCAGACACATTACAAGGGGGGGTGGATAATTTTTTTTTATTTAAAATAATCCCCACCCACTCACACAGCATGTGAGGGGGCCTGTACATTAGGCTTTTTCCATACGATAAACAACAAAATTCTTAATTTACCAAATATATTCAAATAACTTAATTTTTAAAAATAAATTAATTAATTAAAAAATCTAATAATTATATTATTGCCTCACATGAATGAATGGAGACAATAAAATAAATTATCAAAAACAAAATAAATAAATAAATAAATAAATACGTAAATGGGCAACTCCCCGTTGCCAACCCTACACTCAAAGTACTCACGTTTCATAAACCTATCGTGACGTGACTCATATATTCAATTATAAGATTTTGCCCATTTAAAGTCGTATATGCTAAAAACCCGACGATAATAAGTCATTTATTAAAAATGACCAGTCTGTTAACTAGATAATAGTCGTTCCTAAAAAAGTGAATAGAATCTATGTACTGAACCTGTAGAAAACAATTGGGGTAATTCGTAAAAGGATTTTTTGAGGGCCTATGGTATTGGATGAAGGTGGGTCCTACATTGATGAGGATGATGGTGAAATGATCATCGGATCTTTTATGCGCTTTACACTTTGCATCGCATTAACCAAATCCTAGTCGTTTGCTTAAAAATTAGAGCCTTAACATCTTCTTCTTGAAAAATAGGATATTAGCACCATTTCTTATTATTAGTCTTTGTCACGTGCATTGCACGAGTTCTGTATTTATTGTGTTTTCATTAGCTTGCAAATTGTAGATTTTTCCATTGAAGATCAAAATTGCCACTTTTGTAACTGCAGGATTATGCTTGATTAATCATTATTAAACTAAAATTTCTTATAAAAATTAGTTAAGTATTGTAGCACTTGTAATCTCATCTCCGGACTACTTAAGATAAATCATTAGTTCTTCCTTTGAAATTTGTTATAAAAAACTGGCTAAAACCATTGCAGCACTTGCAACCTCAACTCAGACTGTTTATTTCTTCCTCAAGAATTCCTTCTTAAATTTTGGACTTGTTTAAGAGCAATCTTGCTTTCTTCTAAAATTTCTTGTAGAACTTACAAAACTCACAACTTCAGCTCGAACTGCTCAAGAACAATCCTTATTGCTTCATCTAGAATTTCTTATGGGAATTTGGACTTTCATAAGAGCATTCATTACTTTCGTATAGAATTTCTTATGATAATTGGATGGAAGGTCGTAATACTTTGAACCTCAGTTTGAAATACTTAAGGAGACATGACATGATATTGAATTGACCGAAAATAACTAACATTGAGTCATGTCTATATATAATTTACTTATCATTTTTTCATGAAAAACAAATGTTTAGCCATCGTAGAAAATTGCAAATTTTTATGTAATGCCTTTCAAGGATTCTTTCAATTGGCATGTTAATTTTTTAATATTATTTGATAGGATTACTTCTTTCCACCACAAATTCGTAAATTAGTATACTTTGTTGACCAACTTTTGAGTCAATGAAAAATTTATGCCTAGAATATT